TTTTACGACAACTGTCTTGTTGACGGCGTCTTTTATTCGTTACACTGGGGTTTAGCGGGTGTGTTTATAAAGAGACGAAAATTGTTTGGGGACTATCCCCCACGTTCTAGTTGAGATGGTATAACCCAAGAGGCAAAATGACGCTTGCTACTGTTGTTGCGAGTTGCCATTCGTTCTACTAAACCATTAGTCAAACGCCATCTTGTCTTCTGTCGTTATTACACAAACAAAAATCTCTTTACTGTTACTAGTGTTAGTGCCTCAATATGGCTACGCTCGTGAAAGCAATACAACGAACTCAAACACGTCTTCGTTCAATGTTATCAACTAATATCCGGATTATGCAAATTTTCCTCAATTCTCCAGAGAAATTTTCATAAAAATTTGAAAAACCCGGAATTCCGGGAAAATCCGGAGGACTTTCATCTCTGTAACATTGACTCGTTAACGTTGAACTCTCTTGCTGCTGCTCTATTTCCGTGTTCAACTGCATAACCCGATCGCCTTAAGTTTGAACTCTGCGTTGTAAGCATGTCTCTAGCGAGGAGCCATTTTGAGGGTCGACATATTACCGTAATAACCATACACAAGGTGCATCGGGTTTTAAGGCGCTCTGTGAGCTTTTAAGGAAATGGAAGGCTTTTCGGTGCGCCTTTTAGTGTGGAGAATACGGTATTGACTTGGGGGAGAATGTAAAGTGATGATGACAGCGCCTATGTAATGTTATTATTTTAATCATGGCAAGGGAGGTCATTCCCAAATTGCGTTTTAAGCAGTAAGTTGTCACACAGTAAGAAAAGGGAAATGGCACATTGGGACCTGAACTTGAGCCTCTTTTGCAAGCAGTGTATACTTGATATTTTATTTTGTCGTCATAAAAGCTGCCAGGGCCAGTCAGAGACTGTGGATGGGCCGGATGTGGCCCACAGGCCCTAATTTGTCTAGATGTGCTGTAAGGCTTTAAATTCATCCATGAGGTTGAGTTGGGAAAAAATGAGCACCGAAAAATAACCTCTGGTGCTCATTTGAGAACCGCCCAAAAATTGATTGAATTAATGAACCTGCATGATTCTTATTCCAAAATATTCATGAGAATACTGTGTTTAGACTTGTGGGGTCACATACAACATACTCTTAAAAAGAAAATCTTTGCAGTTGGGTTAAACTTTGATCTCCGGGTCTTCCTCGGTTTCATCTTTTTGAAGCAGTTGTCTTCCTCAACCTCCATCTTCCAAGTACGCTGTGTCAAACCTGAGGTTATCCCAGGCGCGACTGTGTGTTGGGTGGCTCTATACAAGTGATTTGTTTTCAAATTATCCTTGAATGATGCGCAATGAAAAACATTACACTTGGTAAAATTTGCTGACTTTTCTGACTTCAAAAGAAGAGGAAATAAACTCAGGAGGTTTCTTTAAAAAAGTGTTACAAAAGGCAAGTTCCGCCTATTGTTGATTCTTCATGATATCCCTTTGGACAGAACACAAAGATTCGAAATAAACAAACTACAAAGGGCAGACATAATTTATTGATGGCATACTGAATATTTAAAATAGCCTTTGAATGCTTTATTTAAGGTTTTTAACTATTTTAACTACACTGTAGATAGGTGTCCGATTTTGATCCTTCGGGTGAGTCAACGTTTTTGTTCCCTAACATTAAACAAATTTGACACAGTTTCCTAATAGCATAGCATCTTGCTAATCGGTGCAGCTCTTGCTCTGTTTATACTCTTCCAAACGCAGCACCTGGCTATACATTTAGCGCTCACGATTAAATTGTGATTTTTCAAATTTTTAATGCAGAAAAATGTTCCAATTTCAAGTCCCATTTGAAATGACTCATAATTACAACTATACGAAAGGATTCTGACTACAATCCACAGTTTTGTGACTCAAATACAAGATTGTTAAGATAACGGTCACATTTTAATTCCTGGCTAAAGAGTCACGTTAATGCTCACACTGATAAGAATTCAACAAACAAATGCTGAAGGGCATAGTCAGATGTGAGTGCGTAAATGCTGACCTGGAGCAAAGCTCGTCTTCCCATAGAAATGGACGACGCCAGTTCTCTGGCCAGCAACCAGCACCCTATCCCCTAGGCGCATCTCAGGGCCATCATGCACAGAGCTGCTAGCTGACGGGGTTTGGCTTCGATAGCCTGGCAAGGAAATGGTCAAAAAGCTTCTTGTCAGACATATTGCTTTTGGATTCGCGCCGTCATGATGTGTTGAAATAATTCCTACCGGCTGTAGCATTTGCAGCCATACCGGAAGAGTGGTGGAGGCCAAGGGAAGGTGTGGCCCAGGGACTTGGAGAAATATGTTCCCATTGTTGTCTGGCAGTAAGACGTTGCCTGTGATGCGGACGAGGTCGAGGACGCCGTCCATGACGAGATTCCAGTGAGGAAGACGAAGAGGAGAGTGAATGGGCGAGACCACCTGTGATCCAATCAATGACAAATAAATGGCCGTACATAAAAGACAATAAAAAATGTCAAGGCATTTTCTGATAGCTCGTAAATGCCGACCATTCGATGAAATTGTCAGCACTCGGTCCAATTGCGGTGTCAACCCTTTTGCTGTCTAAAAGTCCCAGGCAAAAACGTATTTCCTTCTTAATTGCGCCATTATTCCATGCCTGTATGCAAGTATGAGCACCCCTTGAACTTTTTGCCCTTTTGCCACATTTCGGGCTTCAAACAAAGATCTAAATATTCTTGAATGGACCTTTGAGAGCATCATAGAGCAGGTGCATTTATACTGAGATAGGGGGACTACAGTGACTGACATCAGTCATTTAGGTCAGGGGTGTCAAATTCATTTTTGTCACGGGCCACATTGTAGTTACGGTTTCCCTTGGAGGGCCGTTATGACTGTGAATTTTGTGAAACCATATAAATGTTTCATCACCTCCACGTATTAAATACACAACACACAAAAAATTGGTGGATACCTAATTTTGAAATCAGAAGTCAAGAATCATGACTTGTTTCAACATTGTTTACGTTAATGTAATAAGGGTTTTGGAAATGGAAAATGCTTGCAATATCTCCATGTTATTATGGATTACAAATGACAATTGAAAAAATTGGTTCATAAAATGATGTGGCGGGCCAGATCTGGATCTTGACTTTGACACCTGTGATTTAGGTCAACTTTGGATCATTCAGATATCATCAGGGAATTTTTGGATTCAGTTGGCTGTACTGAGAGAAAAGAGGGTCAATTATTTCGTATGCTCGACTTGTCATTTTATCTCATATCTGAAATCGAATCTTATATCTTTATGTTTGAAGCCTGAAATGTGGAAAAGAAGTTCAAGGGGTGGCGGGGGAGGGCTCGCGCACACACACACACACACACACACACACACACACACACACACACACACACACACACACACACACACACACACACACGAAGATACATAAGTCCGACAAAGCCTAGAAATAATTTATCTGCATTCATTATCTTGCATATGATGTTAAAAACAACACCCGAATTAATCAGTTTGAAGAATTGCAGTGCTCCACAAATGAAACACTGTGGGCCAATTAACGTGAACTATGGTACCGGGTTTAAAGTGCAAGATTGATTAATTCATCCACAATCCTTTCTCATGACGGGTCCCATGCATAAACAGTTGACATGGAACAAAGGCAAGTAGAAGTTACGATATCAACCTGATTTTTGTTAATGGCCAGCATCAGAGATGTGCCTTTCCTTTTGGACTCCAGTAAGAAACATCTGTGAATACAAAACATTTCTTGCCGCTTGACATTTAGCGTTCAGGGAGCTCCCGTATTTTCATGCCTTGCACACACTGCTTGAGGCAACCTGCAACACAGTATTTAGCTGTTCCTGTTTTTGGTTATGTTCTCTGCACCATTTGAGTCCTGAACTATAGCTGACGTGGCAACAGCCTAAAATCTTTTGGGGGCTAGAAGATGAGAGTCTTTCAGAGTGACCCAAGACCAAGCTAGCTGCATTGTTGAGCTGGTAAGTCACAAAAACTCTGATGGCACTGAGAGTCTTGACTATAAATGTCTAACAAAAGCCCCGAGAAAGTTTCCTCATAAATTAGTCTGGTTCCTGGGGAGTACGGAGGTGCTGACACGCACAACCTCACATTTCTTGCACACCGCACATACATACACACTCAAACCTCTTGATGAATTGTCAGCAAGACTATTCAGCCTGTCTATGCCCCGGTTATTAAACTCTACTTAATTGGACCATCAATCACAAGCTTTCCATTGGCTACTCTCCTGTCCGCAATTCCAGTCACGTAAAGATCAATCAGCCACCAAAACCTCTGAATATTACCCCTGTACAATAAATCTGTAAACCCCGGAGGACCCACAAACCACAAAAATCCACTATGACAAGTTTCAACTATACTCTAAGGTCACTGGACTGTGTTCCAGGCCAATGTTAGTCAGGAAAGGAGAATGCGGACCGAGGACTGATCTTGTCAGCAATCTAATTTATGCACTGTCTGTGTCAACCTGCCTTTTCAACGCTGAGCAATATTAACATATCTACACCATTTATCCGACGCAGGGGCACAGCCTGCAGTTGGTCAGGGCACAGTTTGAGAGGAGACTGGCAGAGAGAGTACACAACAATAACATTATATAGGAGACGGATCTTCTCGATAAACGCACTGGAAGGGCGGTGATACAGTCAAGAAGGGACAACAATGAGTAGAAACTAGGACAGGATGGGAAAAGTTACAACTTCAGGACTGGACAAAAGCAGGACGCCATGCAGTCCTACCGGTGTATGGTATCATTGGTTATGTGGTGCTTATCACGCCTGTAAAGCGTTTAAGTCCAAATGAGAAGACAGTCCAGAAAGATAATGGGATCACAGGGCCCTTGTATAGCGATTAGAGAGTGACCCTGAATCAAATACCAAGGGAGACTTGTGATTCCGAGGAGGACGACGCAGACATTTAAATGGATCGGTTTCAGCATTCAACTGGGTTGAAGTTTGGAAAGAGCATCCCTCCATCCATTTTCCGATCCGCTTTATCCTCACAAGGGTGGTGCTGGAGCCTATCCCAGCCGTATTCGGGCTGTAGGCGGGGGACACCCTGAACCAGTTGCCAGCCAATCGCAGGGCACACACAGACGAACAAACATTCACTCTCACACTCACACCTAGGGACAATTTAGAGTGTTCAATCAGCCTGCCATGCATGTTTTTGGAATGTGGGAGGAAACCGGAGTACCCGCAGAAAACCCACGCAGGCACGGGAAGAACATGTAAACTCCACACAGGAAGGCCGGAGCCGGAATCGAATGGAAAGAGCATGATAGAAGATTTTTAGGGGGATCACTGTCCTGCACCAGCACCACGAGCAGCAAATAGGAGGTTGCAACTTGACCTTGTACTTGTACTTGCAGGGGATTTCTCGAGGAACTCTGCCATATTCCAAAGATATACATCTTAGTGTAACTGATGACTCTTAATGGTCCATACTGTAGGTATATGAATGTGAGTGTGAATGACTGTATGTCTACATGCGCCTTGTAATTGTCGAGGAAGAAAATACCCCCCCTGAAACTGTCTAAAAATCCACATGTTGAACTGTTGTCATGAATAAAGTATCACAAGACGTTACCACTTCAAACATCAACCTCACAAGCATGTTTGATTTTCCGGTTGCTTTTTTTTTGGTTGTTTTTGTGATGACACCACAGAGTACCGGTGAGGGCCAAGAGGACCATGTGATAACAACCATAACACCACAAATCGACATAGCGGGAGCAGTGCAACAAAGCTATTATAAGTTGACAATGATAGCAAAAGAAGTATGAACTTCCAACTCAGAAATTTCCTTCTCCACTTCCCCAGACACTGCCCATCACTTATCATCCAAGTTAAGACTGAGAAAACCATTTATTTTGTTCTTTTTAATCCAGGATGCTGTATATGACAATTTGCTTGTGTTAAAGCAATGTAAACATTACTTTTGCAATTATCTATTTTACTGTATATGTCACCAGAGCGATCCGTTTGCGAGAAAGAATATTTCCCAAGAGATAAACAATGCAGTTATTGCGGAATGGAGGCTGATTAACAACACGGCTGTCATGTTAAGTATATCTCCCGCTGAGTAATGGGAAGGTTGCCGCTGCTGCAGTACTTCAGTTAATGCCCCAAACCACTCAAGCGACCACATAAAGAGTTATTTCTTCAGCTAACAGAATATTGGGTCATCATTTATTGATCTGATGCAGTTAATATGAAATGTTTTTGTGTGGTTGCTGTATGATTCTTGCAGTTATTTTGGTTTTACGTGGCATGTGGTCCCCAATCGGAAATATGCATGCAACTGGATACTACGACTTACTTTTTTCTTTCCCTGAATACCAAATATGCTTTGAAACAGTTTTTGAAACATTTTTTCCCCAACATCAACTCCCACACGAATAACATGTTTTTGTCTGCACGGATAAACAAATAAATGATTCCTTTTCCGCAAAACATTCATCCCAAATATATAAATTAGTGCTGTCAAGCGATTAAAATATTTAATCGTAATTAAATGCATAAATGTCTTAGTTAACTCATAATTAATCGCAATTAATCACACATTTTTTTATCGTTTCTAAATTTCTTTTTGTCCTATTTTTTTCCCATTTTAATGCTCTCATCAACATGGAATCGTGGATCAGTTTTCTTTGTGCAAAATGCAAATATTTACTGAAACAACAATTTCGATTTTCAATTTTACATGAACATTTTTCACTTGGAGCAGTTATTCGCACATAATTTCTTCGCTTTAAAATGATCCATAGCTGTCTGTCTTAGACGAGGGGGCGGAGTACTCACATCAGCTGTGTGTTGGCCATTAAGTGGTGTTTCAGACTCGACGTGCTGCAATGATAGCTCAGTTTACAACTGCAAAACATACAGGTAACTTTGGTCTTGTCAGTGGAACCATCTGGCAACTTTTTAAAAGTAAACTTTCCATTTATAAACTCTTTAAGTATCCGTTTTCGGTGTCTCGCGCTGCAGTGGCTGGCCAAACAGACATGGGCGTGGACCTGTGCAGCGCGCTTGTTGTTTTGTGTCCAGTTTATTTATAGAGCAACGTAACATCCGCTGTGACGTGATGCCGCATTAATCTCGCGATAAAAAATTTAATCACGTTAAAATTGAATTAAATTAACGCCGATAATAACGCGCTTAACTGACAGCACTATATAAATCCTGACTAAACTAACATTTCAAATGTTCAACAGTTAATTTAACACATGACCTGTCACACTTCATGGCTAGGCTGGTCCATATGTAAGAGTGAAAAAAAGTAGTCAGAGGCAGTCAGAGAGCAACAGGGATGATTGGGGGCTCTCGTACCCAGAGGGCTATCTCCCCTCATCCTCCACTTATTGGGCACTCATGCCTGCCATCTTGATGCGGGATGCCGAGTGGCCTCCTGGCTAATATGTGGGCTGGCTACTGTGTTGGGATCGACTGGGTGGGGCGACAGCTTCCTGCTCTCTTGTGGCGTGGGGCAGTGGGGTCTATGTAGACTAGCGTGGGAGTAGAGGTGGGCCAGATGGCGGCACTGGGTCCTTGCGCTCTGCCTAAGTGGCCGATTTTGGGGGGCTCCAGTGGGGCTGGTGGACCACCCGGGGGGCGTGGACATGGGTAGTGTCCTGCCGGACGGGCTGGCCTGCATCTCCATCATGACACCAGAGCAATTCCAGTTCATCTGTGATGTTTACTATGCATGCGAGATGGTGTCAATTCACTTGCATGTTCCTTAGGTTACTCCTTAATTACTATCAATAACTTTTAAGACTTTGCAAACTCCTTGAGATGTCGAGCTCACTTGCATTCCATTGCTGCAGGTGTTGAGAGATTACACAGCCACTCCCACCAAACTCCAATTGTCTATCACCCGTAACAGTACTGTCCCACATAAAATTCCACTCTGGTATGAGATTGTAGTCGGTGGGGTATATAATGCTTTGTTTTTGTTGATTTTCCCTTTAGCGGGTTTATTTTTCAATCTGTCCTCTGTTTTATTCTTTTCTGTAGCTTCCTGTTTCAACCTTATTCTGTCTGGCTGCAAATTTGTTTTGTCCAATTGTTTTTGTTTTTGTTTTTGCAGGAAGTAAAGTGCTTAATTTTAGTTGTCTTTTTAATCATCACAAGAGGACTAGACAAGTTGGCGACACTGACTTTGCTTTTGGAAATGATCTCCACTCTGTTCGCAGCCATGCTGTTAGTGTATCGAAAATTGAGGATAAAGCTGTTAACAGTGAGATAATCGGATTGACATTAGATGTACATACCTGAACGGGGGTTACTCTTTGTGGGAATGGCGGACAGGCCAATGCGACGATGGCGTGCGGGTGCGGGCAACTTATTGGCACTTTTGTATCTTTCCAAAGGTTTGCTTATCTTGGAGAGAGGAGCAAATACACCTGCAAAATAAATAAATAAATAATTGCTAATAGTGCTTCATTATACATAGTCTTGTTAATGAGTTACAGCATGCCGATTGATTGAGAACTTGAGCGATGGAAAAACGAACTAAACAAAATCAAATAAATGAAAATGTGAGAAGGAACTGATCTCCAAAACAAGCAAAAGGTATTGCTACGACATACCATGTTTGAGTTGACAGGTAAAATACTGGATGCCCGCTACAGAGCCATCATTCTTCCCCTCTGGCTTGTCAAGCACGACTCCAGCCCAGAGACCACCAGAGAACTCCGTGTTGCCACAGAATTGCAGAGTTCCAACCTGTAAAGGCAGTGGCACATGCATGCATTAGTGAAGGTGAAAACAAGGAATAAACAAAAGTCATTTGCAAAACACATCGGAGCCATATTCCTGTTTATACAACAGGGCTGCACTTTGTAATATCCCGTCTAACCAAATTTGGCATTGAAAATGGCTGGTTACTTTGATAAGGGGAAAACATCTGACCTCTAGGTAATCTTACCAAGACATGTTGGAAGGGCTGGACGATTATGATATAAAAAAATCATCATGATTATTCTGATTATGATCTAAATTACAATTTTTCACTGATTTCAAATCTTAGTATTTACTAAAATGACCTTATAAATATCGTGAAATTCAAGCCTCTTGCATTTTCATTCTGTTACATCCACACCTTTGATACCTTATATCTTAAGCAGTACTGTTCCCTCTTTCTGAATTTATTTTATCTTATTTATTTTCGCAAGTCATGGGACTTACTGGGCTAACCTAGGACCTCGGGGATTGTATTTCGTGCCATGTCATGTGGAAATGTGTGCTGGTATGATGAAAAAAGTCCTTGGATCTTTGTATCCTTGAATTTTGAGGAGAGGAAAAGTCCTTGAGTCCTTAAAACTCAACTTTGAGTATAACTTGAAAGGACGAGGAGAAAATAAATTGGTAAGAGAGTAAAATAAGAATATACAGTCCTAATTAATTAATAAATAAATAAATAAATAAATAAATAAATAAAAAAAATACCGGCCTATTAATGTGCCTGTTAGCTTCTTTGGGGGAGTGTGTTGGCGTGCGTGGATGGATCATACACTTAGAATGAGAACAAAAGAAAGTTGCGATTCAACTCTATTAATACAATTTGCTTCTCACAGATTGGGAAGAATTTGTGCCCTTAAGTAGTGTTCTGCAACCTGTGTTTAGGAGATTCTACACCAAGTATGTGAATATTTGTTATTTGAAGGAACATCACTCCCGAAGTCCATGCTAATATCCCGTTAGCGTGTCAATGGGCTGTTACATTGACTTTAGCATTACCTCAACCAATGTTTGGAAAAACAAACCAATTCTTGTATTTAAATTAAATATATAATTTATGTAATTGTTTTGTTGTGTTAGTTTTACAGTAAACTCCAACGACGGTGTCATTGAACACGCTCAGGGACAGCAGAATCACATAAGCTACACGCTTGCGACGCAAGCAATATGGTGCATTCAGGGTACTCTCTCATTGTAAAGGTACTTTAGGCCATTCTACACATTAATAGTTTTTCTTCAATTTAAAACGTTTTAAAGATCAAGAAAGGCCAAAATCGAAATCACGTTTAACACATTTTTAACCTTGAAAACCACACATTGTTAACCGAGGCAAAGCAATTTCAATTCTCTCTTCTTCCAACTCCTTCCTTTTGCCTCTGGGTGCAATACTGTGTATAGATCATGAGAGTAAGAGTAAATAAGGGAAAAAGATATCAAAGCCAGAGTCCAGATGGAAAAGAAAGTGTTGATGAGCCCATCCTGGCATGTGTCGGGTTTATTCACAGAGCAGCCCCCAAAACAGTAACTATGGTTCACTGTTTGGAAGAAAGGAGTGATAGAATTGGTATTGTGTGAAACAAACACTTATTTCAGACACATTAACCAACCAGCTGCATTTTATTTTAAGAAGTGAAATGCAATTTCCTACTATTATTTGTAGGTTACAACAAATAACATTCCAAAAAAGTATTAATTGAGAAGCAAAATGCTTGAAATTTCAACTAAATAAACTAAACTAAAATATTCAAATCAGATTTACCATAATTCAACTTTTTCTTTCTTTCTTTAGGGCACAGGTATTTTATTTATTTTTTTTTTACCGACAACTCACTTACGACAACTAGGAAATATTAGTTTTCCTTGCACCTCAGAAGGTGTTCATAAACAATATTTTATCATCAAGGACTGAGTTGTAAGAAAATAATTAACTAAATAAGACGAAGCACAAACCTTCTGTCCAGCTATCACCACACGGTCACCGAGTTGGATTCCCATGGAGGCGAGCTTTATCCGGGCTTTTTCGGAAAGAGTAGGAGGGGTCTGGACTTGCAATGTTAAAGGCAAGGAGCTGGGCTGTGGCAAAGCCACTCTTAGTAAAGTCCGCAGCTCTTTGGCCAGAGCAGCAGCATCTGCCATCTCTAAGGGAATGTTGAGAGGATCAGGAACAACATCAGCTGGGTACTGGCCCTTATCATCCTGTAATATAAGACCAGAGATGACAAAATATAGTGATTACATTTAAAAAATCATCCATAGAGATCATTTAATTTATGAAGAAAAATCATTTCTATGATTGAATTGGGATTATGTCGGAGAAGTAGAAATGCTTGAAGAGAGCCAACTCTTGGAAATGTCATCAACCTTCAATTAGCCAAACTTGTTTTCATCCCTTGCATACATTAGTATTAGATGAAACTTGCTAAGAAAATAATATCCATCCATTTTCTGAACCGCTTTCTCCTCACAAGGGTCGTGGGGCGTGCTGGAGCCTATCCCAGCCGTCTTCGGGCAGGAGGCGGGGAACACCCTGAACCAGTTGCCAGCCAATCGCAGGGCACACATAGACAAACAACCATCCACGCTCACACTCACAATTTAGAGTCTAAATTGTACCTAGGTGTGAGTGTGAGCGTGGATGGCTGTTCTAAATTTTAGAGTGTTCAATCAGCCTGCCATGCATGTTTTTGGAATGTGGGAGGATACCAGAGTACCCGAAGAAAACCCACGCAGACATGGGGAGAACATGCAAATTTCACACAGGAAGGCCATAGCCGGGATCGAACCCACGACCTCTGCACTGTGAGCTCGACGCGCTAACCACTGGTCCACCGGGCCGCCTATGAAAATAATAGGACATATAATTTCAGAACTTCCCATACTGCAGGCTACAACCTTATGCCCTCAATAGTGCTCCTTCATGCTGTATAGATAATGTTATTATTAGCTGGGAGACACAGACACGTATTACAGAAAAGTTACTACAGCAGTACTCTATAAATCCTCCAGTGCATGATCACATTATTCAGGGGTCTGGTGTTGATTTTTACAACACTTGCGTCAGCTCAAGTAGTCATAAAAACATACTGCCGGCACTCTCTTGCAAGTGTTATGTTCTTATTTTGTCTATCGCTGATAGTCGAGGAAGTGTGGGAAAAACAAATGCTGACCATTGCGGAGCAAAGTCAAGCAGATGCTTCAGTTCGGAATAAACAGAGATGGGCAACTCAGTAAATTTTGCCAGTCTGTCATTCATTATTTGCCAACAAAGAGGCCACCCGTCCGTCAACGTCAGTCCATCATTATTTCAAACCGTAACTAAACTGTCATTGTCAGTCCGTCACCCCATCACTGTAATTTTAACCACGCTTCCATTACACACACAAATACATCCATGGGACTGCATCCATTTTTAAAACTCCTCTTATCTCAAAGGAAATCATTTTGAACAGGTCACTGTTGACAGACCTTTGTTTTAGGAGTAAGTTTTCAGAGTTTTTATCGATTTAACATACTACTTCTGACAGAATTTTAATAAGTAGCCATTTTAACCCTTTCAGGGACAGCGGTTACTACAGTGGACATCTTATCATGTTATCAGGTTACAGGGTGCTGGAAAGGATTAATGTACACGTCGACGACATCTCGGACCCGCTGTCCAGAGAATTTTTCAACCTTTTAAACTGCTTGGATTTTAAGCAGCATGCCTCATAGCCAACTCACAACAGAGGTCACACCCAGGACCTGGTCATAACCTACGGCCTGTCCATTAGTGTGTGTCAGACCACTACCGTGTATAATTTAAAGTCGGCAGTTTTATTCATCAGGAGGCCCCTGGTGAGAATAGTGAGGAAACGCGACCTTACTTCTGGGCTGGCTGCTAATTTTATGGAGATTTTTAAAGAGCACTCCTGCTAACATTCTACCTGCACCCTGTGATTTTATTGTTGATAATTTTAACAGGAATTTAAAATGAACATTTAACTCAGTAGCACCACTTTCAACGAAAACTATAAAAATAAAAACTGTACCCCTTTGGAGAAATGATGCGATCAATAAATGAAAAAGAAATTTCAGGAGTGCACAGAGGGGGTGGAGAAAAAGTTAACTTACAGTTCACTGTGAATTATGTGAACAACCCAAATTCGACAATAAACAAGCAAGAGCATCTTATTTTTCAAATCTCATCACAGTTAATGGAAACAATTCCAGATTTCTGTTCTCCACCGTTGACCTTTTAACAATTGCAAATACCACTCCGTGTCAGCATTAACTCCTGCTGGAAAGCTCAAGATGAAAAGGAACTTCACTTTTCAGTGTGACAATGATGCAAAGCACACATCCAAATCAATCACTTCCTCAAAAAAAAAAAAAAAATCAATCACCAAAAGATGATGAGGGAGAATGGCACAGCCACAATCCAGACCCTTTCAAACAGCTTCTTCCCTCTCGCCATTAACTCCCCAAACACGGACCCAAACCTACAGTGGCTCTTTGCATTTTTGTACACCCCTGTAGAACGGTATTACCACAATAATCATTGTAGCTCCAGTTCTGTACATACTTGTTGATCAATATTCCCCAGCACCAGACACTTGAAAGCCCCCAAGGACTTCCTGTATAATTGCATTCCTAAAGTTCTATGACAATAACTGCTCCTGGTCACTTTAAAAATGGTGCAACAATTATCTGCGGCAAATGCACAAATGTCATAGGACTGTATTGCACCACTGATCACTTCATCTCTGCTCGATGACTCTGCACATTGTCGCGCAGCTGTCATTGGGTAGTCCCACTGCACGACGGTACCCTGACATTACGGGAAGTCTTTGGATACATATATGTCATGTCCTTGTTTTTCGGAGTTGCTTGTTATTGCAATACGAGTGTAGCCTGCACTACCGGAGACAAATTACTTTTGTGTTCTACATACTTGGACAATAAAGATGATTCTTATTCTGATTCTGATGACTTCAAATATGCGGGGGTGATCTGAAGAGGGCTGTGCACAAGAGCTGTGCCCCCTGCAAATAGATAGATTTGGAGCCTTTTGCAAAGAAGATTAGGCAAATATATCAAGATGTGCCACACCAACAGACTCCAGTCTTCTACACCAAAAAGACTGAGTGTTGTAATAAAAGCCAAAGGTGCTCACGGGGTGTGGTGTGGGTGACTGTGTGTACTAAGTCTGCTGGCGGATAAACAGCATCAAAAATTGGGGCGAAATTATCCATGGATAATGGCTATTATTAACCAAAACAGGAAAAGTTTGGGCTTAGATTCAGGGAAAATAAATAAATAAATGAATAGAATCCTACTCGAATAAATTACAAAGAGGATGCTCATGATTGCATGAACAGTGAGCCTTGGAGTAGTGGCTAAAATAATTTCTAGGGTGACATTCCACTAGTTAATGATGTTAATAAGTGGAGAGGAGTGACAATAGAAGTCGGGGTAATTGGGCCAACCTCATTTTTGCCTGCCCAATGTGTTAAGAGCATTTCACTTCCACAAATTATGATTTTGTTTGCTGCAACACTGGTCTCATATCCTCCACTGTTCGATGTACTAACCACCTCTCTCTCTATATTAAGATTTTCAAACATCAACCTTCCTCACGTGGTTTTTAACGTTGGTGAGAAGAATTAAAAAAAAAAAACGCTGCCGATTGGAATGAGGGATTTGCTTGATTACAGCACAAAGTGCTTTGGTGACAGCTAGTGGAGAGTTGGTGCATGGTTGAGGATCATGCCTTCCTATTTCAAGTCAAGTACAACTTTATTGTGTAAATGCGCTGTATGTGCAACATACAGGACAGATGAAAATGAATTTCAAAAGACAGCAGTTGTCAATTTATGGCATGAATCATTTGAATATAAATGAGCAAAAGGATAACATGCTAAAATTATTTCATGTCAACATTACAATAGCTGGCAACACTTGTCATAACATTCAAAGTAACGGCCAAAATGATTCAACAGTAAAATTGATTTTTTTTCTTTTTTTAATTTTTTTTATTAACAATAATTATTTTATAAAATAAGCCAATGCTAAACATTTTCAGCAGCTTCCAACAATAAAAGATGCCGCAAAAACAAAAAAAACATAAAAGGAAACACGACAGTATCTACACATAATTGTGAGCCCTGAAAGAGTTGATACTAAATTACGTTTTTACAACAAGCAATACGACAGAACGCGAAATTTTGCCAAGAGTCTATTTTGTGGTCATGTGTTATCGTGAACGTCTGTGGTCTGGCTGTAAAAGCCAACCGTAGAATTTTAATAATCTGTTATTTCAATAAAGTGATGCCACCCTTTCGGAACTAATTAAATGCTAAGGATTTCAAAATAATTCAATAGCCATCCATCCATTTTCCGATCCGCTTTATCCTCGCAAGGGGTGCCGGAGCCTATCCCAGCCGCCTTCGGGCAGTAGGAGGGGGACACCCTGAACCGGTTGCCAGCCAATCGCAGAATAATTCAATACTTAAAAAAATAAATAAATCGAATAATTTAGGAATGCTTTCAGCTCTTCGGTGTGAGGAATAAAAATACATACTTGATTTACGAGATCATCAATAGAAGACTTGGCTTTTGCATGGTTGATCACACAAAAGAGTTTTATGATGCAAATTTCAGTTCTAAAGAGCTGGGATCAGCATTTTCTGTGTTTTACGACTGTTACAAAAAACGAGTTCAATTTTTAATAGACTGCAATTTGTATTACAAACAAGCGGGGCGGAAAATGTTGCCCTATGAAATACGGTGGAGTCAATTTTAAGAGTCCTTCGAAGATACAAATTGCTCCAGTAAAGATGCCAGATCTTCAAACAGAATACAACAAAACTATTAGCAGATTGATAGGTATAAAGTCATGTACGGCATTAGTTATACTTTCCATTTATTTAATAATTATTAATAATGACTTGAAATATCATAATGCGGGAAGTATAGACATCACCTTGTCATCCTCCTGCCACCATATGCTAACAGTCAAAGTGAAGTCTTTGAGCACTGAGCCTGTAACTGGCACGACAGTATTTTTTTATTTATTCATTTCATGATCTTTTTTCCCTTATTTTTTTTTCACCTTCGTGTGTTTGTTTGTTTATTTGAAGGACCAGAATCGTAGTCACTATAGTTAGTGTTATTTGATGAGTGAAAAAAAGAAAAGCTTACCAGTACAAACAACACAAAATATACAGTTCTAGGCCATGGGGTCTAGTCAGATTCCAATTCAGCTCAGTGACTATGATGATGTCATATTGACAAACTCAATTGCGTTTGTGAAAACGCGGTCTTGATGAATCTGCTGGACGAATCTGTTCAACAAATGTTTGAGTGACCGGCAGTGGTTGAGGTCACCCATACTGTAATTGGAACCACAACTCCCACAACTGCCAAGCAACTACAAACTGACCCTGATGACATAACGTAACTCGCGCACTTTTAGGAAGATGTTGGGGTCTGATAAAACCACGGGAACTTGGCCTAAATTCAAGTGTGTGAAAGAAAAACAGACACGACTTCACTCCTCATGCTGTGAATCTCGGCTACAGAACTGCTCAGTACAGAAAATACAGAGATATAGTGGATAAAACAAAACAAAACAAAACATTTCAAGAGTTACCTTGTCAAGGACCTCAAACGAGGGCGACGATTCACCTTCCAATAAACCTCCCAACATGACAATGAACCAAGGCACAGACCTATGATAACACACAGCTGCTTCGAAACAACTGTATGTGATGCTGTACCCAGCGGGAGACTTGATTGGAAATCTCCAGGGAGGGGGGACCTGAAAATTGCTGTCCATCAACATGCCCCAAAGCTGAGCGAAGAAAGAATAATGGCAAAAACAAAAAACAAAAAAAAAAATTCCCAAACTGCCAAAAGTCTGTATTTACCCCGGGGCAAAAAAAAGTGCACCTCTAACTACTGAGCAAAAACAAACACATTTCAAAACATTTTTGTTTTCCTCGTACATTTTATCGAAAGGTGGCAACATACCTCATTAAAAATAATCGAAAAAGAGTGAATACTTGGGCAGCCGGTCTGCTAGCATAGTTTCCCATTTTCACATGGCACTGCACTGAATGAATGGTGGGAAAACTTCACTGTACTGTACTAATGTAGAAAAATAACAAAGTAGACACAGCGGTCCCGGTAGCTTACTTTGAAAGCAGGATTGGCTCCCAGCTCCAAGAGACATGAGACAGCTGATGTGCACAGGTTAGACGCAGCAATGTGCAGGGCGGTGCCAAAGTCAAAGTCACTACAGGTCGCATCTATGTCTTAGAGAAACAGAAATGAGGAGAAGGAGTTTTTTTTTTCTTTCTTTTCAATTTGGTATAGTATGTTTCTTGTTTCTCTACTCATCAAGATTTTGTGGAGGTACAAAAATGACTTTAAGTCAGCACTAATTCAAACAGTGAAATGAAAAAGAACTTAAATCTGTTGTGGCGAGACCAATGTGTTTAGATGGGTCGAGTTGCTCCAAAAAGTATTTGCTCCAATGCCATTCTAATTTCTTTCCCCAAACAGAGGCAGTTATGTTTTTCCTGCACCTATATGAATTTTGATTTTGTGACAATGGCAGAGAAGGAAAAACAAAAATGAACTCATGTGAAGACTCTGATATGTTTGCAATGACTTTTTAAAGGCTGTGGAGGAGGATATTGATCTCAAAGCGAGATCCAAGAGAGAAAGTTTTGGGCCTCTAAATGTCATACCGAGCTGAGGACAAGACATCCAGCAGAAGGGTAGATGACAATTTATTGGGTCCAAATCAAAGTCAGATGAAAAGACAAAGAAACTTTGCAAAGGAAATTGTGCTTACAGTTTTGTTGAGGTATTTATATGTGAACAAGCAGGAATGGAAGACAATGATCTTATGAAAGAGTCAAGTCGAATATTTTCTGAAAAGAGGTAAAGATGATTCAAATTCACCCGACAACGGCATCGTTTTTAAAAATCTCTTCTGGATTATCAGTAGTCTGTAGAGTGTAGAATGGAAAAAAAAGAACTATAATACAGAGTCAAATGAGTAGGTGGATAAATGAGGGGAAAACCTTTTTTCACTATACCAAATATTTCCATTGATCTTTTGGTTACGAGATTAACATGATTATTCCAGTTGAGACATTAATCCAACAATACACCCAGAAACTTTGTCCAAGGTATTAGAGAAATGTCAAGACCATTAATGAACATTTTGGCTTCGTCTTTTAAGTGGGGTTTATCTCATAATTCAGTGTTTACAAATTATTTGAGAAATTTTAAATCATCACTAATGGCAGACTGGTATCATCACCAAATAATAAGAGGAGAAGTCGTTTATGTAGGTCAAAAGTTCTCCAAATTCATACACCAAGTACCACCTCAAAAAATACTTAACTCTCCAAGTACTACCATCATTAGCATAATAATGCCATAGCATTGTAGGCCTGAGCATTCATCATATACAAAACAGGAGTTTTATTCCTGAAAAGTATCTTTCATATTTTTGTCAACCACTAGAGCATAAGCATTTATCGTATGTATTGCACATAAAAGTTCAAGAGAATTTAAAAAAATAGTAAACTAAAATATTAAATTCGAATGTAACAAAAAGTACAAGGGAGCTGTCCTTCGGCAATGAATCCATCGCCAACCACTAGAGGGAGCCCGTATACCACTAGTGGCACTCCTACTACAGTGAGAATGACTAATGTAGGTTAGAAATAAAACTAAATCCAAGATAAAAAGGAATACTACTTTTTTTTCATGAAACGCCATTCAGATAAACAAAGATGCTATCTGTTATCAAGGTAACTGGGGCAATTTTCTCTTATTGTTGATGAGATTGGGTGGACCAGTTGCAGCAAAGTGTGCTTAGTAGAATATTTGTTACAAGAGCCATATTACTTTTTCAGGACTTGGAAGATCAAAGCGGGAATCAGAAAAAAAAAATCATTTAAAAAGGCTACACGGGTTCACATCAGGCCCCTTTTTGTTAGATGCCAAAGAAGAGCTGATACTGACCCAAAAAAAAACCTCTCACGAGCCACAAAGAGCCTCTTGCTTTCCTGTCATCTCAGAAGGACAAGTCGCTGAAGTTTGCTTTCCGTTCAGCAACTCATTGGCAAGGTACCAAGATGACTTAACATCCTGTTAATGGCTGTTATGTCCTGAATGTTCATGTTTGACTAGACCCCCCCCCCACACACACACACACACCACTTACTTAAATTCAGGTTGACATTCCTAAAATATTTTTCTCTTGAATGGCCTCAATATAGCAAGTTTATTTTCACTTATGTCTGGATTTATTGGATATGAAGACATATACTGTATAAACAAGTGAAGTCGATTTTATGAGCCCTATCTGGGTTTTCTGCTCTCACCCGCACAATTTCTCCCTTTGTTCTGGTTATGTTTTATACCATTTGTATTTTGTTATCAGTTGTCCATGTGCAAATAATAAATTATACAACAAAGAAATGTCGCTTGAATCTTGAATGCATTTATTTGCATATGCTTTTTTTACGTTTCTTATGAATTTCATAATTATTAGGTGACTAATAGCTTTTCTTTGTACCTGTAGTTTTATTTTTCTTATGAGAGTTTTTTTTTTTAGCTCATCCATTATCCAAGATTTCCCTTTAGATGAGTTACTCATGTGTTTTTTTTGCAGTGATTATAGCAAAGCTAGTTGAGGCTTCATTAACATATTTTGTACATCATCCCAGGAAACCACAGACATGAAGGACCTAAAGGATTCCGAATTCTGTGAAGCAAATTTGCAATATTTAATTTGCGAGGGATAAAAAATGATTGCAGCTATCGTTTCTTTTGTTCTGCAGAATTGGAAAGAAGTCAATCAGAAATACCAATAAAGACTGTAATTTCTAAATCTAAGAAATGAATAGGATTGCTCTACTGTAAGGAAACGAAAATGACAATCTAGAAATAAAACGAAAACAGGGTGAAAAAATGTAGAGTGTGTTCATTAAGTTAGATGGCAGTTCACTCTTAAACAAATCAATGTTAAATCTCCAAGTATCCACATTTTGTGTGTCTTTTACTATCCAAGATAGAGAAAAGAGACTCAAAGCTGCTGAGGTTAGGTGAATGCTTTTCCCTTTAAAGAGATGATAAGATGACATTTCAATAGACACAATCTACATCAGCATTTTCAGGATGGATACTGAATCTATCAGACACACATAAGGAAAGTCCTCCTCCTTTTTGTGCTTTCTACAGGAATACATGGCAGTATAATGAGGCAGACAATTGATATCTGTAGTATCACCATTTCAACAGGTTTCTGAGAATGCCATGACTGAGAGGGAATGAGACCGGCTTGATAACTATGATTTTAGATTAGTTTTTGGCAAAGTGCAAACATTTAAGTGCAAGGTCAAGAAAGTATTTGCCTCAGCATGCACAGCGAAAGAGTATGAGGCAAGACATGAATGAATGTGATCTTCTGAAAATGCTCGGTCGTTAAATTTTTTTTTTTTTTGGTTTCAATTATTTATGTCAGGGTTTAAAAAAAAATCATCATAGATGTCAGTGTTTAATTGAACTCAAAGGGATTACTAGCAGACACGGTGGTCGACTAATTTACCACGCCGGCCTCACAGTATAGAGGCGCAGGCTTCGATTTGGGCTCTGGCCTTCCTGTGTGGAGTTTGCATGTCCTCGATATGGCTGCGTGGGTTTTCTTCGGGTACTCCGGTTTCCTCCCACATTCCAAAAACATGAACACTCTAAATAGTCCCTCGGTGTGAGTGTGAGCAGGAATGGTTGTGTGTCTATGTGTGCCCTGCGATTGGCTGGCAACCAGTTCAGGGTGTCCCCCGCCTACTGCCCGAAGACAGCTGGGATAGACTCCAGCACCCCCCCGTGTCCCTTGTGAGGATAAAGCGGATCAGGAAATGAATGGATGGATGGATTGAAAGCGAATGATTGTACAGCATGATGGATAAGACGTCCCATCATTTGTGGTGGTTGGTTCATGGATGACATGATGTTCATTTACATGAGCAGAACAATGGAAGGCCAAAGTCAATGGAAAAAGTCCTGATTAAACTCCGAAGACATTTGTTAGCATCTGACGTCTCGCTCCTTATTTTAACTTTTACCTCCTCCGGAGGACCAGTGAGTTCAATGCATGTTTTGCAGTTGGATCGTCAAAGTGGACGAGCCGAGCTTTCTTAGCGATAACAACCTTTTTTTTTTTTTTTTATTCGATGTTCAAGTTTCGACTGCTATAAAAGTCTAATTATATGGTATCTCTTAGTGAATCTGAGGATGACACCTGACTGTGTGGCATTTCTCTTAGGGCGATTGTGGTACGCTCTAACAAAATGTGGTTTACGGCAATCCTCTTGGGATCCAGAAAGGAAACAAACCTGCTCTTGCACTGTTTCACGGTCCTTGTCTGTTATTTCCATTCACTCTTGACAATTCAGCATGCCACTTCATTGCGAGGGACATATTTTGATGGCTCGACCAGCCAAGCCTTGTCTTACCTCCAGGTTGAGAGGCCTGCAATACCACGCGAATGAGCTGGGGCACATCAAAGTAGGCAGCGTAATGCAGAGCCCTCATGTTTGTCCATCGGGAGCGGAGGTTAGGATCGGCTCCCAGTGCGAGAAGGTGGCGGGCAAAACCGGCAGCTGTATCTGCGTCACCTAAAGAACAAAAACAGGAGTAGTTTGGGTGGTGATTGTTAGCTCTTTGCAGTGCATTCTGCGGAAATACCATTTGAACAGCTTTTGTGATCACATCATACTGAGTCAAGTTCATATTACGTAAGTCAAATATGTGATAAATGACAAACTTCTAATTTTGCCTTGATATTTGATGAACAGTAGCCAATACTAACCAATGCCCGGGGCTCCCGCCTTGCAACAGTAGTGCAGAAGGCTCATGTCTGTCAGACCATCTCGATCATTTACACCACAACCTCTGTTCAGGATCTGGGCAAAAAAAATTATAATATAAGATAAAAACCAGTGGAGTCAGTGAAGAGCTTGTAGCAGATGTCAAGAAGTGCAGATTTGTATGCCAAAGTTGTCCTGCTAGTGGTCAGAAAATAAATTGTCACAGAAATGATGACCTACTCATTAATTCAATTGGAAAATTCCACGAGGTAACACTTGGCACTTCACTTGGAGCACAAGTAGCATGCAGATGTCAACTAGGGCACAGTTTCGCCTCAATAGCAACATGTACTGGAGTTGTCTACTGCCAATAGTGTGCAACAGTTGTCCTTCTAGTGTGCAGAAATGTCATACAGTCGTGCAAAAAAAATGTCACTAGTAAGACGCAATTGTTCTATTAGTGTGCTGAACTGTGTGTGCTGGTGCTAGTGTGCTTGTTGCGGGGATGGGGGGGAAAAAGGGCTACAGCATTACCTCATTGCCAATCAGATCAATGTTCTTCTGAACCTGGGGAACCCACTGCCTAAGGACAGCAAACAGTTCCGGTATGGTGGTGGTGGGCTCTTGCAGAACCTCCCTGCACTGCGGCTCGCTGGGGTCAAAGAAGGAGAATTCTGCCCATGGTGGGTGGGGAGAACACGAACAAAGACAATAAGTGTCACTTTGGCTGAATCCATATATTTTACTTATACTTTCATGGGCAATGTCCTCTCCTAAGGCAGTTTGAGCTACAAAATGTCTTACCAGCTGCACCACAGAAATGAACAATAAATGTCTTAAATATATGACTGAAACCTGTCTGTTGCAACTTGCATCGAAAGGCAAAAACTGAGATTCTCTTGTACTGTTGAGTTTCCAAAAAGATCCACGAAGGTTTACTTACAGTATAAACACAAGGTCAGCGGATCTGACCCCCACTGAAAATACATATTTGTTTGAATTTGGCAATGTTGCGACTTTTTGCAGTCACTTGCATGATTTTTTTTTTTTTTGCGAGCCTTTATGACGAATTCCCTTCCTGATCCAACCCACACATTTTACAGTAATATTAAACTCCATCCATGTGCACAGAGACATTTATAGTATCTAAACATTACAATGCCCTAACCAAATTGAAAAAATATGTTATGTAATGATCATGCCTGTGTGTGATTTTATACTGTTCATTTCCTGAATTTGCTAAGGAAAGATCTTTGTGTTTACAGGGGGGCTTTGCCAGTTGTTTTTATTTGACTAAATGGGGGAATGCATTTTTATTTTACCTGTAAAAACATATGATCTCATTTAAGGACCTGTAAACCTTTTCAAAGAAAGCATATCATGAGTGTGCGCATTCATGTATGCCCTCACCACAGTCGTCAGGCATTGGTGCAGAGGCCACCTGATGGATGACCGGATGCTGATGAGGAGAAAATGTAGTGACGCAGTCCAGGGAAGCATCTTCCTCCACGGGCTCTGAAACATCCTCCTTTGTCATCTCCTTCTCAAGGCCAGCGGCTAGGACAATATAAGACGCCCTATTCTTAGAACCTAAGTGGGTCTAATCTCAAGAAATCAAAAGACGACACCATTGGCACAGCGGCAGTTCATTTCATGTTTCAGGTGATCTGGCACTTTCAGAAGAACATCACATATTTGCAATTAATTTTAACAGTAAGCACTGAGCACAAATTTACAGAAGAACTAAAATACTGACACATGCAATATCGTGCCAAAGCCATGCCCCCCTTTGTTACAAAGTTACCTTGAAAGGTATGCCATGTGGGAAACGTGTAAAATGTGATCACATTTAGTTTACCAGATGCAGATTCAATGTACGTAAGTTTATGGGAAAAAAAATACTAATCACAAAAGGAAAAGCAGATGGGAAAGTAGAAAGAAAAATGACAATGTAAAAGGTGTCACTTTAAGAAAACACAGAGGCCTAAATCAGAGACAGCACACACATCATCCCAACTAACACTCACTGTGATGTTTGGCTACATCCTCTTTCCCACTGAACTCCATATGAGTATCCAGGTCAAGCTAAGCTTAAATCACCAGGCTGTTGAGTAAAACGTCCTATAATGTTGCTTCTTTGAAAACAGTGAGCACAAACCAACAACACGAGCCATCCCTCCGATTAAACGCCACTAATCCCCTGACAGTCTGCTCGATTTACAGCCTGCTCTCTTTTCAAGACCTAAGGTGGTTCCACTACTGACGGTCCATGTCTGGACTGTCACTCCCACTTCCACCTTTATTGTGCACTGTGACCCTGCTGCAAATTCAGGTCACTGGTCAACCACAGTGAAGAGAATTAGGCTGTGCAGTGTGACTGGTAACAGTGTACAATGGTATCGGTGGGATCATGAGGTCAGAAGACAATAGTTGAAACCGCATGCAACAAAAACGTATATCCTGATACAGTGACTGTCTCTTTCTGGACATATTACACCAGTCTAACTGAGCATCACTTCTGAATAGCTTCTTTGAGGATAGGGATGTTCAAATGAGCAGCACATGTAACCCTAAGCCTCTCGATTGTGTGAGGCAGCGGTGCTAACCACTGTTACCGGTAAAATGTGCTGTGAAACACGTTTTGCTTTTTGCATGCATGCAATAAGACTGACTTCTTATTAGCTAACACAGATTCAGATTTGCCATTCTGAAACGCCTGATCAAAACATGCTCTCGAGACTGCTCTTAATTTGTTCATATGCTGTACATTTCGCTTCTTTCGTGTATCTGTGTGCACAGTGCAACTCAAGTCAAAGTGAGAGGCAGCCATGACATTTGCAGGCCGGAAGTTAGCAGACTTTTGTTTTCACTTCTATTTTGTACTCGATCGAATGCTTCTGGTATATGTCCTGTCAAACGTCACGTGGATGTGAGTGGACGCGAGACGGTCTAGCACGAATTAAGATGCCAGTGAAGCCTGAATGATGAGAGTGATGCCACATCACGTCTGACATTATTCAAGTCAAGAAAGGGCAAGTCGTCAAAAACCCGACATTGTACGCTTAGCTAATCTATTTAAACATAACGAATAAAGCGATAAGAGTGGCATCTCACATTCACTTTCGCACATGATATAGCCTCAACCTGTAATATTGGGCCGATCGTTAAAAATATCTACATATAGACACATAGAAAAAATAAATCAGTCTATTTTACACACAAGAAAATCTTGCATTTTACCTTAACACGGTAACCTCGTTCATATGCTGATATCCACGGGAACGTCACATCCCAAGTGCTGCGCACGGAAGGAACATCCGGGTTTTGATGACAGACTTCAAAATAAAAGCTTTGACGTTCAAGCCTGTTTAAACAACATACAGTGTAGGATAGTACAGTACAATATAGTATTTCAAAAAATAAGTGTACAAAGTAATTAAATAATCTGTGAAACCAGTGACAACAATTTGTTGTCAGTGAATTTCATACCCTGGGTGTAAATTTCAGGATAAACAATAAAAGAGTACGGTAATACGAAATTACCTTGTGGAGTGGAGAGAAACACCTGGTGTGGCCCCATCCTCCCCGATTTCACCCCGTTGAAAACCCAAGTTCAAAGGTGGTGGTAGACAGTTCACATTAAAACAGGAATTATGGGGGGACTATTATGACATCCTGCAACGAAATTAAAACAGACACTCTCAAAAACTCACAAGTACAATGCAAGGATTATAAAATTGCTACCAAACAATACTTCACAATGCGGCATGGCTTGTTACTAGTAGCTTTTGATTTCAGCACGTGACCTCCTAATGGTGCAAACTCAACAAGTGACGCGCCGACGCGCGCGCCACTTGTGTGCGTGTGAGTGTGCGTGCGCGTGCGTCTGCACGCGTGTGTGTGCGTGTGTGCGTGTGTGTGTGCGTGTGTGTGTGTGTGTTGTGTGTGTGTGTGTGTGTGTGTGTGTGTGTGTGTGTGCTCAAAAACATTCAAATTCAAATTATATATGATGTCATGTATGTATACAGTGTTTTTGTATCATTAGTAGAATAATTTTCAAGCGCAATTAAAATGCAAGGTATAATCAAATACTGCACTCTCCGTTTCCATGGAAACGTAAACACGCGGAAGTATCGGCCGTGATTTGATCCTTCGGTCATATGACCTGACTTACAATGGGCCCGCAGTAAGACAGATAGTGTATACAGGTCTAAATAAGTTATTTATGTTTATCCTTGAGCAAAATGGACTTGAACAATCTTAGACGCGCGTCATCTGCTGGCTACCGACTACCGGAACGAACGAAAGGGAGCAGGCCGATAACAAAGCAGGAATCCGCGGCAAAAAGTCTGAAGAGGGCTCGAGATACGACGTCCTCCTCGACGCGGGATGCAGACGCGAGTGATCCAGTCAAGCAAGACCAAGCGTGGAGAGAAATGGTGTGGAGTGAAAGGAGAGCAGTGCTGGAATGGTGAGTTCCCTCTCATCGTGCCATAAAGATCGAGTAATAAACAATGCATGACGACTGCATTCACAGGGACAAGAACTGGAGTTTCTTGCGGAATTACGACCAGTTGGTAAGTGTATTCATTGTTCAGTATAAATGAATAAGTCTCAGAAATAATAAACATGGTCCAGAGCAATGTACTTTGTTATGAATTTTATCAATATCCTTATGTCTCTCCAAATCAAAACCATCACTCAACTAACTCTTCCTAAAGTATCTGTGTTGAGGAAGGTTTTGTTAAATGAATGCACAGTGCCGTAAAAAAGTATTTGCCCCCTTCCTGGTTTCTGTTTCTTTGCCTATATATCACACACAAAAATTTCAGTTCATCAAACCAATTTTAATATCACACGGAGACAACCCAAGGAAATACAAAACACAGTTTCTAAATGCCAATTTTTATTTAGTTAGACACAAAGTAAATACGAACCTACCTGTCCCTATATGAAACAGTCATTGACTCCTGAACTGAATAATGGGTTGTGCCACCTTTGGCAGCAATAACTGAAATCAATCATTTGCGATAATTGGTGATGAGTCTTTCACATTGCTCTGGAGGTATTTTGGCCCACCCTTCTTCGCAGAATTTCTTCAACGCCACCATATTAGAGGGTCTTCTAGCATGAACTGCCCGTTTAAGGTCACACCACAACATCTCTACTGGATTCAAATTCGGACTTTGACCTGGCCACTCCAAAACATTATTATTTTTTTTTATTTTTTATTTTTTTTTATGGCCATTTGGAGGTGGACTTGCTGTTGTGTGTCGGATCGTTGTCCTGTTGCATGATTCAAGAGCACTTGCGTTTGAGGGCGCAAACTGATTGTCGGACGTTCTCTTTCAGGATTTTCTGGTAGACAGCAGAATTCATTGTCCCAACAATCACAGCAAATTGTCCTGGTCCTGAGGCAGGAAACAGCCACAGACCATCACACAGCCACCACGATGCTTAACTGTTGACATGATCTTTTTATCAAACGCTGTGCCATTTTTACCCCAGTTATAACACCTTCCGAAAAGTTCACTTTTTGACTCCTTAGTCCACAAAATGTTTTTTTTTTTCCAAAAGTCTTGAAGATCATGAAGATGTATTTTGGCAAATGTGGGACAAGCCTTTGTGTTCTTTTTGGACAGCAGTGGTTTTCGCCTCTCCCATGGATGCCATTTTTGGCACGTGTCTTTGGTAGAGTTGTGAACACTGACCTGAACTGAGGCCATCGAGGTCTAGAGTTCTTTAAGTGTTATTCGTGGTTCTTTTGCAACCTCCTTGATGAGTCGTCGTCGCACTTTTGGAGTAATTTTAGCTGGTCGACCACTCCTGGGAATGTTTGCCACTGTTCCCAGTTTTACCCATTACCGATTGTGATCTCTTCCCCTAAAGTAGGTGGCTCACCTGTTAGAGCCAGCAAGGTGCCATTGGTCAGAAACTCTAATAGAAAGAATAAGACTAACAGTACAAGAAGCAATAGAAGAAGCTACACTAACTGTTAGCTTATCTGGGGACAACAGAGTGGTTGCATACTCTTCTTGTCATTTTCATTGTGATTAATGTTTTTGGGGACATTGGTGAACCTATCCTCCATTATTTGATCAGTTAGTGTTATGGCCAAAACAATAAAAGCGTTACTTAGGCACCATCTGGTGGCGTCTATGTCTCAAGGAACTAGGTTGAAGTGAACTGAGGTTCGTTATTTAGACAGCTTTATAATTGATATGACTTTGGCACCGTCTTATGGCCACTTGGTCATTTGAATACACTCCACACTATAAGAGCAGTAAGCGCATACTTATCAAACATTAATCTGTCATATTTTAAAAAATTTAAATACAGTATTTAAAATTGCAACACGTCCATCTTGCTAAGTGTTAGATTTTGGTTACATTTTGATTGATGCAACGGATTGCAGGGGCCTTTGCCATTGGAGTTTTGACCATACAGTACTGTATAAAGTAAAAACACACTGATGTTGTTTTTTTATCTGCTGCATGTTTGTAGGGAGAACTGAAGACAGAAGAACCTTTACCTGACAATTCATCACTCTTCTCGGATTGTGCCCCCAACACAACTAATCAAATATTTGGAAGCCGATTGTCGACGCCACTGGGACATGAACTGATTAGACTAGACCGACTTTTATCCAGGTCTGCAAGCCATCACAAATGCAAACAGGATCCGGAGATGATGTCATGCTAGATAAGTCACTTCATATTCACTCCTTTTGACGCATGAGTAGACCAAGATGTGATATTACACTCTTTGCATGGTGCTCAGTTGCGTTTTGCTAGCTTATCAACTTGCCAAAACTGCATAAGAAGCATGCATTGTTTTGCAAGTAATGCATATCTTGTATTCACCCAAAGACCATTTTATAACAAGACAAATATTAGTCAAACTGATGTCTTTAATGCCATGCATCTACTCCTGAATGTAATTGTTTTTCTCGGTTTGACATGTCTTTGGAATCCAAGAGTTTCAAATTATGAAACTCGTGTTTCAGACTCTCGTGTTTGTTTTATGTCATTGCATTATATTTGTCCAATATCGTACCTTCGGAAAACATATCTTCCTCTCTTGAATTGAATTAATAAGTGTACGGAAGTACAGTGTAGCGTTTGACAGTGACGGAAACAGCTTGCCTAAAGGAGGCGAGAGGAATCCTCTTTCAAAATAAAAGCATTCATTGTAACTTTTGTCGAAAAGCGCGGTGAATGAGACCATTGTATTTTATTTTGACATGCATTAACGGAAATTATGTTGTCCGAAACCAGCAATAGGGCATCTCGAGCAGTGTCTCGTTGATGTTTATATAGGTCAGATTTTGGAATTGTAACCATTAAACAATATGCAGTCTGACACTTTTTTACACCTTGCCAATGTTTCTACATTGTTGGTGTGCATGGTGCTGAAGTTTCCACAGATCTTCGTACTGTTGCGAGCTAAATCCACAACTGGAATCAGCCTCAAAAGTCTTGTGCTCGAACTTGTGGGGTGAGTGACGATATTGTAATGTGCCTTTTTTTGCAAGCGATTGTGTTTTGTGCATATTTATGCACAGCGTCATTCATTGATGTTATAAACTAAAGCAATGGTCCCCATTATTTTGAAGCAGCGCTTGTTTTTGGAGATGTTTTTAATAAGACGTGTCAACGTTCCACGTAACCATTTGCACCCATATTCACATGGCACGCAATTTATAGTCTTCAATGAAAATAACATGCATATTTTTGTAACGTGGTGCAGGATAGGCCAGCGGTCGGCAAACCAAAATGTTGAAAGAGCCATTTTGGACCAACACAGAAAACAAATCCGCTAAAAATTAACAGCCTTATATATGCCTTTTAAATAAAGACAATACATGTTGTAAGTATCTATATTAGTTATATTACGCTACTATCAGAAGTCGGCTATAAACACGGAGCATTCATGATGAAATGTTTATTTCCCTGCAGGGCATCCTGGAGAGATTAAAGCACCACGTGACTAGTCTGCTGTAACTTTCATTACAATATCAATGTACAGTATTATGTTTATTGTTTTATTATGTTGCATTGATAAAATTATAGAAATTCAATAACGGAATCAGATTTTTGATGTCTTTTTTAATTTGTGAGGAAACAACAACAACAAAATGGAGCATGCACAAAAGGTCTCCTTTAATTTCAGACCTCCCCATAAAAATAAAATGCAGTTATCTTCAATCCTCAAGAATACAATACAACCGTCTTTTCCTCCCCTTATCTGGGCAACAGACTGAGTGTAATTCAAACGCAGACAACCGCAAAAATACAAGAGCAGCCTTCTGAAAAGATAAAGTATCTCAAATTCAAATAATACAATTTAAGTTCAGTTTCTGCGCAATACCCTCTTCTCTTTAGTTTTCTGCAAATGTCAAATAAGCCAGTGCTACTGTACAATGCAGCAGCATCCTCTTCTCTTTTGCCATACACAATACAAGTGTCCGACTGGCCTGGATTAGGTGTCAGGTATTCTTAACACCAGTGTTGTGTGGTGGTAAAGGGAAACTGAAGTGTGGTGTTGAGCCATGTTATTAGGGCATTGTCATTTGACTCATTTCAGTTTATTTCATTTCCTTTAGTGTCAAAAGCCTCTGATGTGGTAAGTGAGAGCTACTGTTACATTGCATGCTGCAGTGTCAAAAAAAAAAAGGTAAATATTTAATATTGCACAGAGAATCCAAAATTACTGCCGACCTGACCAAGCATGACATGACATTTTACATTTCTTAATTTTATTTTTACTTGGACTTTTTAAAAAAATGACTTTGAAGTCATGTGAAACTATATTGATAAGCACTTACAATAAGCACTTACTGAAATTTTGACATGGAAAGTGCATTTTGTTCAGTGAGTCAGTATGCAGGATGGATGCCAGTATAAAAAAAGTGTACCTTTGCAATTCATGATGAACCTATAGCAGGGGTCACCAACGTGGTGCCCACATGCACCAGGTAGCCCCCAAGGACCTTCTGAGTAGCTCACAGCCTGTACTAAAAATAGCGCACCATTGACGGGACATTCTGATTTTCAAGGAATGTTCTAGAAGTGATCATTTGAAAATGTGAAGTGTTTTTTCCCTAATTATTGTGAGAAATAACATGATTAGTGTCTTTATGTAAACACAAAATAAAATTTTTGAATTGTGATTTTTTTTTAGCATTCAAAGATGCATGAGGGGCCTGTGTAAAAATTGACATGCCCCCTAAACCTTGTAAGTGGTGGTTGAGCCACTCAACAGCAGCAACTGAAATGAAGCATTTTCTTAAACTGCCAGTGCGTTATCTCTGTGGAGATATTTGGACCCAATTGTTTTCACTCAGCAACACCGGAGGGTTTTCCGCATCTCTCCTAATATTTGCTGTTTACTTTATGGAAATGACTTGCAGCCGTTAAAGCTTAGTGGCGGTTGAAGAATTTTGCGCAGTTCGGTAATGTCATTATTGATGCAATAAAATAGGGAGGTTTGTTGATTGTTTTATTTGCCTACTATCAAGTTAAGTCGAATGGCCACAAGCTTGTGTGAACGTTGACTGTCACCGTGACGTCACATGTCAAACTCCATCTGTAGTATACTTAGCATTTTCTTTTTCATCTTGAATGGCTGCCCATTAAAAAAAATGACGGCACTAACGTGTTGCTGCATGATCGTGTGGTAAAACATCAACTCAGAATATAGAGAATAATATGTGGGCACAACATTACACCATCTAATGAGATCCATTTGAAATTTGATCCATTTGTCATTTCGACAGCCCTTACGTTGGATCTCATCAGATTGTGCAGGTGTACCCTCAAATCATGCAAGTGGCGTTTAAATAGCAGAATGATCATTATGCTCGGCTACATGTGAAATGTGGATTTATATTTTTTTGATTTTCTCTTTTTGTCACACGGTTGACCATTTGCATAACATCACTGCTTCTCTCATCCATTCTGACTATCAAGCGGCTCAGTCGCCAACTTTCACTTCTCATCTACTTTCACAGGTATGTTGTGTTTGTTACATACCAGGTGTATTATGACTACCCATCTCCAACTTATCTGGAATATCCGATTCTCATTGCGCAAGGTGAGGCCACACTTCTGCCATCTGTCTAAATCTGTGTTCATTTGTTATTGGAAGTAGTGCACAAAATGCTATTTTGCTGTTGTTTTTGTTGTTAAAAATTGAATAGGAATGTTTTGTCTCCTCAGATGTAGTTCTTCTGCTCTTGATTCTTCTCTACGACGGCCGACTGCAGGACAGCCTCAAGTACGGCGTTGTGTATCCTTCCGCCACGGTCTCTTTTGAAATTGTTCGTTATCTTTGCGTCATGCGCCTTAATGTCACACATTCAGCTTTGTCGTGGGTTGGCGGGTCCTCACGGTGGAAAAATGGATCATCGATTTTGCTATGGTAATTCAGATATGCTTCTGACTGCTATGAATGTCATTTGTCAGCAGAAATGGAGGTTTATGTTGAATTTTATCCATCGATGCATTTTCCGATCCGCTTTATCCTCACAAGGGTCGCGGGGGGTTCTGGAGCCTATCCCAGCCGTCTTCGGGCAGTAGGCGGGGGACACCTCGAACCGGTTGGCAGTCAATCGCAGGGCACACACAGACAAACAACCATCCACGCTCACACTCACACTTAGGGACAATTTAGAGTCTTCAATCAGCCTGCCATGCATGTCTTTGGAATGTGGGAGGAAACCGGAGTTCCCGGAGAAAACCCACGCAGGCCCGGGGAGAACATGCAAACTCCACACAGGGAAGCCTGCACCTCTGCACTATGAGGCCGACGTGCCAACCACTGGAACACCGGGTCGCCGTTGAATTTTTAATTAATTTGATCCTCCTGCATGATGAGGAATCTCCAAAACGGTTTGATTGCATCTTTCCATAAAATCAGCAGATAAAATGTTGCTGTAGACGTTGTAGATTTACAGCAATGAAGATTAATTGCTTATTTGATTCATTTAAATCTAACCTCATCAAGAAAACAATGAAGATTAACACGTTGCATGTAAGGGGGAAGTATAATATTATTGATTGGGATACATAATTGCATATGATTTATAAATACGCCCAATTTGTACAGCGTACGAAACTGAAATCTCTTGACATGGGGAACATGTAGCCATACTAGTTCCATAGTGCACTATGAGAGAAACTTAACACATTGTAATAATGAACATATAAATGTGACAACATAGTCCATAATTTACAGTCTCAGTTGAACAATGAGTACAAATTGGAGGGGTGGTATAAATTTTGATAATTTAAGCGTAGCCGATGTTTGCTGTAAATTGGACATGGAGGGCGTTGTTAACACCAACTAAATGATAGAACAAAACTGGACATTGAACTTGTACTGGATGTACGTTGTGGAAATCCTCCAGTGTGGGTACGAATGTGTGATTTCTTTTCATATTGTGTATTTTCTATTTTTACAGATTGTAAATTGTGTAGAGTATTGTTCATTTTGTTGACTTATGTTTGACCTTCTCTTCTCAGAGCCTGTGCACAATTATCAGTGCAGCCAGCAAGTTTGCCCAGCTGCAGTGTCTGTGGAGGTCAAAGGATGCTGGACAAGTGAGCGCCCTCACCTGGGCGCTGGCCACATTCACATGTGCAAGTAAGGCAAATATGTCGAGAGATTTTGTAATTAAGCATTATAGCTGCTCATGACTGATTGGATATTAGATACGATCAATCACTATGCATCTCTTTTCAGCTCGGATTTACACTACCGTAGCAACAACTGGAGACGTGCAAGGTAAATACATTGCGGTGTATCCTAGATCATGGCTGCTTATATAATCCAAAAAAAGATTACAGTAATCACTCGTTTTTTGTCAAAGTCTGTGATCATGTCCGCTCTTTGTTCGGCACGCATGGAAACCTTCTCTCGTGCATCAGCATGAAACGTCTTTCCGCCACATGGGTGCCAATATGGCCATATTAAAAAAATAATAATTTTTGAAGAAAACAAAATATGAAACACTGAAAATATGAAGACATTTTTGTACTCATATTTTCCATGATGTAGAAGTTGCCAGAATTTGAATATGTAAACAGAAAATATATATAAATAAAGCAAACATCATACGTTTAATGCATCTGAATTTGTGAGGATCGAACAGAGGTATGAGCAACCGGCGGTCCGCAACCACATTCTTCGGTGACCCCTTGACTAATTTTCTAAATAAAAATAATTGTAAAATGTGTCTGTGTGTGTGTGTGTGTGTGTATATATCTGCCCATCCCTAATCTAACACTAACTCTATTTCTGCATGCAGTTTTGGTGCGGTTCGTTGTCATGACCTTGCTGAACCTGTGGGTGCTTCTCAGCGTGCTCCATTACGGAAGACACAGGCACAGTACCATCAAAGAAGACTGAGCACTTTAGAGAGCAATGGTCCTCTGTTACGGCAAGATCAAGCCTGACTGGTTACATCTGTTTTGTTTTTCAGTTTTTCTACCTGTAAAATGTGCTTTTAACTCCCTTTATTATTTTTAAGAGAACATTCCAATGCCCAGAAAAAAAACAAAACCCACACCAATGTTTGATTACGCTGTAAATAGTTTTGTAGTGGGAAAGCACAAACATGACACTTTTCAACTCAGGATAAATGACAGTATTTACGTGTTCAGTTTTTTTCCCAAACAGTCAGTATTGAAATAAACCAGAACTTTTACTGCCTTACCTTGTAATGCTTCTTGTGTACACCGCTTGATGGGGGAAATTCTACATTTACCGGTACAAAAATAATGCACTTTGCTTGGGGGGTCTTTTTGTTCAGTTATGTTCTATGTATCACGAAGTGTAATTTATAACCACTTTAACACATTGTCAGGGTCAATCAAAACCGCAGAATGTTTAATATAGATCTTGTTGTAGGTGTACTTAATGTGGCTGGTGGGTGTCTACGACCAGCATTGCGATGTATTGTGTGGTAAGGTTATTCTCTGACACATCACAAAAAAAACATGAAATAGTATTTCACCTGCCTGGGTACTTGCCAGCTAATAAGATATGATTCAGTCACCTCCTAACATGGTATCTAAACTATTAATGAACACATGTGGGACGTTACAAATTATAACACCAAACAAAAAATATTGCAAAATGTTTACTTTTGCAATATTTAATCCTTTTTTTGGTGTTTAATCAAACATTTAATTTAAAGAAAAATTGTTTGCTGATTCATTTGACAGAGGTCGTGTGTTCGATCCCAGCTCCGGCCTCCTTGTGTGGAGTTTGCATGTTCTCCCCGGGCCTGCATGGGTTTTCTCCGGGTACTCCAGTTTCCTCACACATTCCAAAAACATGCATGGCAGGCTGATTGAACACTCGAAATTGTGTGCGTGGATGGCTGTTTGTCTGCGTGTGCCCTGCGATTGGCTGGCAACCGATTCAGGCTGTCCCCCGCTTACTGCCCGGAGACAGCTGGGATAAGCTCTAGCACCCCCCGCGACCCTTGTGAGGATAAAGCAGTTCAGAAAATGGATGGATGGATGGATGATTCATTTGATCCTGTCATTTGCCACCTTGATATCGGATTTAAATCATACTGTGTAAAAATTACTTTTTTTCCCCCAATGTAAATTATTTCAGAAACCCACTTTTAATTTAATATGCAAAAACATCATCATACATTTTTAAAGTTAATAATCGGTGACATAATCGCTAATTATGTTACATAGGGCGCGCTGCCGTAGTCTGCCATGTTTCGCCGCCATCTTTCTGCTACGGGGAGATAATGTGTGTGTGTGTGTGTGTGTGTGTGTGTATATATATATATAACACACACACACACACACACACACACACACACACACACACATTGGCATACATCTTTATTACCAAATGCAAAAATAATCATGTCTGTATGCGTGTTTGTGTATATATTTGTGTATGCATGTATGGAAGGATAATAGTGTGTGGTGAGTTACCCCAGCTATTGCGGTTTATTTCAGCAAAGACAAATGATAACTGAAGAGCCAAAAGGCACATCCACATCTTTATTGTTGAAGTGCTTATTTTAGAGAACTGTTTGGTAGCCAACATGCAGTCTGGATGTAAAGCCCTTAAATGCAAAGTGGAGACAGCTGTATAAATAATATGTGCACTGTATGGCATGTAAAATATATACTGTATTGTGTATACTACTGTGTATATTTATATGTATAAAACATGCTTGAAGGTTAAAGGAGATCGCACGTACACAAACACACTCTGTGTCTCTCCACTTGCTATATAAAAGCCACATCCAAACACAATGTGCCCAAACTAACGTCTGGTATCTTTTAATACAAAAATATCACAAGAATCACCTTTGAAGCAAAACGTTGAATGCAACAGTGCTTTTCAGTACGTCGACTGGATTTTGACTCTGCTTTTTGGTATACTTCCTTCAGTTTCCTCGTCGTGAATGACACACATCTTAATGTGTCGCAGTGTACGTGCGTGACAAGAAGCAGACATGCAAGGTCATTCGCTCTCTTGGTGATTAACAAAGCGCTTCAGTCGAGTAAATTTGGATCCAAGGAATACAATGCTTGTGTCTTGACTCTGGTACATGCCAGTTTTTACATTCAAACAACAGCAGGTGCTGAGCTTGGATCAGGAAAAGCAAAGAGGGCACATCCCTTTAATTCAGTAAAACAATATAACGCTGAACTGACAGTGCAGAGCGGTGGGATTAACAGGAGCCGTCATTCAAAGTGTTTTCTGTTCACGTCGGACAGAAAAGATTGCAATAAACAGCGCTTTGGTGGCTCTTTCGCTAAAGTCGCTTCTTCAAGTTTCTGTGAGCAGTGTAAACACATCTGAAAGCTATGCTGAATGTCAAACGGTGCTGAACTACACCAACAACTAACAGGATTTTTATTATCTTTTTTTGTTGTTTTCCACAGGACACCCCTGCATGTTACTGACAACGATAACACACAACATATTTTTTTGGCAACAGTCCACAATGAAGAAGAAGGGGAGGAGATGAGGGTCCTTCAATCAAGCGTTGCGGAATGCGCAACCCATCTTTCTCTGTGGAAGCCCCGAATCCCCCCAGACGCACTTTAAAGTCTGCATCAAATGCTCCCGCGTCGCGTCGAGGGCTACCAAGCTCTCGAGCGGCCACGTCACCTTGAATAGAGATGAGCTGGAAGTCGTGGCGTCAAGCAGGAGGGTGACTCATGGAAAGGTGAGTGTGCTTTTTGGCCAGTGGAGCTTTGTCATAAAGTCTTCATTTTAAGAGGGAGCACCTTCAAGACGCACGCACTTTTCCTGCACAAGGTTAGCTAGAGCAAGACAAAAACAGTTGTAGTTAAAAAAAATTAAGTTGCAGAAGTGGAAGACAAAAACCCTGCCATCTACTTCATTTACTGTCTTTTAATTTGGATTTGCACTACAAGTCAAATGAATTCTATTTTTTTTTTTTTCAGGTGGGGCGGGTCGTCAAAATATGCATGATAGGGGTCATGGGGGGGGAAGCACATGTACAGAAATTCAAGGTTGCAATCTTCAAAATCCACCGACTGGTTACATTTAAAAGATACTCACTGTGAAGTTTAAACAGTAAATATGCTGACATGAATGCAAAGTCTATCTATCTAGAAGCAAAATAATTGCCCAGTGCAGCCAGGCCGGCGGGGTAATGCTGAGATGAGCCTCATTGAAATCAAGTGGAGGGAAGACGAGTCAGCCCAGGCCAGGGGTCGGCAACCCAAAATGTTGAAGTAGCCATATTGGACAAAAAAAACAAAAAAAAAACAAAAAACATATTTCTGGAGTCGCAAAAAACAAAACAAAAGCCTTCTATAAGCATTGTAATGAAGGCAACACATGCTGTATGTATCTATATTAGCCTACTATCAAAATGACTCAGTTGGCTACAAATACTATATATTTCCCTGCACTGCAGGGGTGCCCAACCTTTTTTGACCGAAGATCTACTTTTCGATCAACCAACCTCCCGCGATCGACCCGTTACCGCACACGCGCGCATACGCACGTACTCACACACGCATACCTACCTACCTTCGTCGAGACCAGACGCGGAGGCATTCGACGCATTTTTGCAGCGTGTTAACTACGTAGCTCACGTGTGCCGTTTAAAAATGCTTCTCCACATTCCCATTCTTTGCCAGTACCCTTAGTGAATTGTACATGAAAGGCCATTTTTTTTTCCAACAGCCACCTGCCTGGCATCCCGCCCTGCTAATAGAAACGTGTCGCACGCTATGACGCAAATCTTCGTTGACAGAAATGTTGAAATTTTTATTTTATTCTACATGTTTTTACAGCATTAGAAAACGTGAAGAATGTTTGTGTCATGTTTTTCCTCCTACACAAACCATATTAAAACTGAAAATATATTTCCATTTTCAAACATTTTTTTAAAAAGCTTCGGGAAGCCACTAGGGCGGCGGTAAAAAGCCGCATGCGGCTCCATAGCCACGGGTTGCCGACCCCCGGCCCAGGCCAACCAGCCAGTATTGAACATTTCTTATTGATATTCCCGATTACTTCCATGTCGTCACCGCCTGGTTTTCACACCAGTGGAGTTATTTATGTGCCAATTCGGCATCTGCACATGCAGCAACGTTGCTTCTCCCAGTGTAAACAGTTATATATGTTTGCGAGTAAATCCCGCCTGCCACTTGAAATGTACACAAGAACATACAGTCAACAGAATCAAACATTATGGAAAGCCATCTGAGCATTTATTTGATATGATAAATCCAGTTTCGGATCCATGTTCCAGGACACTCTTCATCCTCACCGGTCAAATTATTCAGCGCACAAGTAGAATGGGTGCAATAGAAAAACTGTATTTGTAGTCATGTTTTCATTTTCCAAGACGTGTTCCACTTTTGACCTACACGACTGAACCTGACAAGAACTACTGACAGCTTCCCTTACAAGGATGTTAAATAAATGCTCAAATGACTTGTTCGATATCCTTGCAAAATAATGATCTACAATAATAGTCAATAAAGATAACAAGGCAATGAAATAATCACTTTAGTCACCGCACAGTCCATCCTCAGAGCAAGCGTTCATTTAAGCACCTCAAGCTGATCCATGCCTTGAGCCCAACGTGCAAGTTGCCCACCACCGCAAAATGACCCAAGATGAAAGAAACACGGGAGAAATCATCTAGTACCATAGTCCACTGCTGGAGTTTTCTCGCATCAATTTGAGGCCATTTGATCTAGTGAATGAAACATTTTTTTAAATGAGTCAAACAATATGCATAAGGTCCCCCTCATTGAAAATAATTGGGGAAAAGGGCAAAGTCCTTAAATGGGGGAGAATAGTAGAACATCAGCAGAGGAGATCCAAATGATGAAGACGGCAGTCTGACATGGGTAAAAATCTGGAGTACGTGATTGGAATGCACACTCTGGACATGAGTATTTGTACACCCTCAATAAACTGAAAACAAAATAACAGCACTTCCATTCTTCTCTGTGGGATTCCCCCCCGAAAAATTGTGAACACAAGAGGCTTTGTCGAAACTATCTGCATCCATTTGAAAGCACACATTTGTCAAAGTAAACAATAGATAATTGTTTCAACTAAACTTCTCTTTAAATTTTAAATGTACAAACTTTTACATTTTTATGTACTTTACGATGTATTTCTCACAGGGCTATTTTTTTAAACCAGTATTAATACCAAACCGATGAACTTCACTT